GATGGGTGGAGTTGGGCGTTGATGCCACTGCTCCCCCGACCAGGGTATCCAAACTTTGTCGCTGAGCAGGTGTCGGGTTGAAGAATGGATTGTTATCATTGTTCTGGTTGGGAGTGGGGGGGCCATTTCCATATTGACCTGACATGGCGGACGGATTTACAAACGGCCGTTCAGTTGGTGAAGCGAACCCACGAGCAGCCGCAAGTTGCGCAGCGTTGTTCATGGCCGCTGCGGATGACTGAGGTGTCTCGAGTCGTGTCATAGTCAGTTCTGATGGAAGCCTTCCAGAGCTGCTATGTTTGCGTCGTTTGCTTTGTGGTCCTTGGAACTCAGATGGGGATGCTCCTCGAGACAGACTTCTAGACGCCTGAGGCACGTGCCCTCCGTTCGTTGAGCCCGGAGCCGCAAATGAACTGGGCGTAAGCTGATATTGCGAATTGAACCTTTGTTGAAGACCCTGTAGATCAGTTGGCGACTGAGGTGTATTTTGCCCGTTCTCGGGGGTTTGACCTGAGGGAAACACTCCAGCTCCCGGTACTTGCGTCCCATCTGGGAGGGATGGCGAAGGGCCAGTCAGTGCAGGCGCAGATGGGGCCTGCGTCTTGTGGTCGTCCGTTATCATAATCGAATTTGTAATTGCCTGCGCCACCACGTTGTCCAAGTGATCCTTCACAGTGAAGATAACCTGGAATCCGAGCTTCTCGTTTTGGTGTCGGCAATAGCATGCAATACGCATTGGCAGTTCCACTTGCATTGATCCTGGTGGGACCGATGATCTATCGCCGTAGCCACCGCTGGCATTCTTTGCGGGTTCGGTCCATTCCTTGATCTCGCTGGTGTTGAAGACGATAACACGCTTCTCTTCATCTTTTTGAAACAATTCATCTTCTTCGGGCTTCCTTTGCTTCTTCCGTGACGCACGTTTCCGTTCTCGCTGTATACATCCACTGCAGATTTTGACATCACCACCGTCCAACGGACGTTCGTCATCCGAAGTTGTTTGATAGCGATCACCCCTTGTCCGTGCAAATGCCCGCTTGATCTTTTCTGTGTCTTGCATGGCACTTGTGCATACGAGACTTGTAAACAATTGAAGGGTATCGCGGGTAGGTTCGATGGCAGGAGGAGCAAGGAATTTGAGTTTTGAGATGGTGTGCGAGGGAAGACGGAGTTTCTTGACGCCGGTAGGTAGCGGGGAGAGGGTCAATCGGATTGGAATTTGAGTCTCAACACGGGATTTGAGGGAAGTTGGATGCACAGTGAGAATAGGTTGTAGGGAGTGCGCATTATTTTGAGGTTGGGCTGGGGAGGAGGCGAAGTTGACAGGGAATTGGTATGATGTGGGCGAGGCGAAGTTCATGGCGGGTGATAACGAGGCGTGGAGAGGTGATTGGCGATTCATGTTGATGCCTCCGAAGCTTTCTTCCAGAAGTGACGAAGGAGACTGTCCGCCCCATTGCGGAGCGGCTCTATCCATATCGTGAGGCATTGAGGTCGAGTATGGAGATTGGCCGTTGAGTCCAAAAGCGAAGAACGGAGACCCGGGAGCATGACCCTGGATTGTTAGCAACGCGACAAACAAGAATGTTGTTCGAATGACTTACGGAAGGCACAGCATCAATGGATGGCAGCCCAGTGTGATTGCTCGAAGGACTCCAGAGCTGGGATTTCGCGCGCTTTTGGGGCCTCGGGAGTGAGCCATTGTCCGTCTTCAATGGACTAGGGCTACTCGCTGCACTTTCGAAATCGAAGGCTGCATCCATCGCCTTGTTACTGACTTCCAGATCAGGATCCATGGAGAAACCATCCATAGGAAAAGAAGGATCAATATTGAAGGGCGATTCCTCCTTGACTGACGATAATTCTGGGCGCATCCAGTCCTCCGACGGGTAACTAGTAGAGACTAGAGGATTTTCACTATGCGTTGCGGAGTTCGTCGAAGCGACCGATGTTTGTCGTAGATGATTCCGTGGCGATTCGGAGGAAGAACTGCGACCCGAGTCATCTGGCGATTCAGCTGGCGAGTCCGCGGCAAGACTCGGCACTTGCCTCAGAGGATTTTGGTTTTGGTATGGCTTTGAAGGCCCCGAGGCGCCATTCGAACGGGATGTTGTGGCTCGAGCGAATAGGTCGTCAAAATCTCCCCCAGCATTCTCAGTTGACATCTCGAGTTGTGTGGGGTCCAAAAAGTCCATGTCGTCGTCCATGATGATAGGATCCAGGGCGGAGAATGAGGGCGAAAAGGGTGCCTGAGCTGATATCATGCTTCGTTTTTTTTCCCGTCTTGATGCTTGTGAATCGTAGTCGATTTCAACCGCCCAACAGCCACCTTCACGACAATTGAATATGACGGGCGATTCGGTCGCTAAAAAAGGAATCTCGGAGACGGTAGAGATCCAAAGAGTATGACAATCAAGTCTTGTCGGAGTTTATACCAGGACCGGTCTCCGATACCATGGCCCTTGTTGAGAGAGATTCGAAGGTGGTCGGGGAAAGTCACTGCCTTGGGGTTATCTGGAGGAAAGGGGAGCGGGAAAACTGTGAACGCCGATCCAGGCCGGCAGAATCTCAACAAATGGAATCAACGATTCTGCTTGAATTTATATAGTCGTGATGATAGAAATTAAATGGTTATAGCAGTTGATTGAGACACAAATGATTCTATGTTCTCCATATACTTTCCAGCCCAAAGTAAAGCCCTAAATGGCATTTGTGCTTAAAATAGACACCTCAGGCCTCACAAAGCGGTGACCAATACAGTACGCACCATACGCCCACCCTTCCCGTATCTTCCATCGCTTTGATTTGCTGTCGATCCTACTTCTCCCGTCTGACAGGGGTGTGGACGAGGGGATCTGACTATGTGTTCTAAGCGGTTCTACAACATGCGGGACAATAGTCCTTGAGATCTTGGAAGACTTTGTATGACAACACAACTTCTTCTCACTTTGTAATACACGACTTTCTCCCATTCCTCGGGCTGACCCTGGGGCCCAATAATTGGAACGAAAAAAGTACATGTGTACATGCATGACGACGACAACGTACCGGGATGCCAAGCGCACACAGACGCCATTCCTCGCAAAGGTAGAGATTGTGGCACCCAGTTATCGGCTGTGTCCTACCCTCGCTCTGTTAGAGTAACACACCTTGGTGGCCTGCAGGGCTAGCTATCGTTTTCTGTGTGTTGCTTATTGGATATCATATCAAGATGCAATGTAGGTGACACTATGATGCATTTATGCTTACGATCGGCGGAATCGCCATGCCAAGGGACCAATGAGCAATGCTGTGCTGGCATACAAAATATAATGGTGCCAAGCTCAGCAGCGTCTAGGGTTGGCGGGCTGCAGATTGTAGAGATTATGTATTTTTTGTAGAGTAATTATAAACAAAAGGTACATAAATAGTCCTGGCATCGCTTGTCTTAACCCTCCAACGACATGTAGTTCGAGACAACATGGGAAGATATATAGTGTGACATGAAATCTCAGTTACCTACTCTCTACCCTTCTAAAACATATATTTAGAATTAAACCTAGCAGTAGATCAATTGAACCAGACTCACATTCTAGAATATAAAGCTTTACTTTTCATTTTTCCTCGAGCTAGGTCATGTTACGATTAGGTACCTTTTGTATGTAGTTGCTATACAAAAGATACATCAACTCTATAATTTGCTATCCAGCACCGACACTTCATGAGCTTGGCACAATTATCTTACGAGAGCCTCCATAGACAGTGGAGAATCTCTTTTTCTCCCACGTGTAATAACGCGGACTGCTTTGATTATAAGGACTTCATCAGCCAAAGATATCTGCCCTAGAGGCAAAGATCCACGGAGTAGTTCCTCGCGAGCAATCACACGGCTAAGACTGGCTAGATCTAATCGATCCTGCTAAGGATTCACGGTCGTTGAACTAATTTAAAGATGTTTCAATGAGATGAGTTGGTCAAAAGTCTCAATCTAATTGATAATTTGCGAGGATCCAACTCCGGAATAATGTGATTTCCATGTGGCTTGAACAATTTCACGATTTTTGCCTTTGCAATTTAGATCTGACAGAATCGCTGGATATAGACCATTCGAGATTTCCGTCCTGAACCCCTGGACCCTATCATGCAGAAGACGGACATGATGTGGAGCGTCTCGGAATAATTCTAAGCGCTGGGGTCTAGGGGTCATATGTAGGGGTTCAAATGAAGCCTTTTGGATTTTTCAAAAAAGCCGTTGAGGTTGGCCATTTATATAGGAAAATTTTCCAACATACTCCGTGTTTCAACACCGTACACTATGATAGACAATCGACCTGTCGGAAGTCATTGTGGGATACTGAATTCTCCGGGTTTCCCCTGAAGCGGAATTGAACAAGGCCTATCTCTCCGAAACAGGAGAAAAGCCCTTACAGGCTGGAAAGAGCGGAGATGTTATCACTTTAAGGGGTTCGATGAAACTTGGACTGTCACAGACAACCGCCCACGATCGACCGCCACCAAAGATATGAGACAATATCAAACGTCCCCTCCTTGATGATCCCAATGGAGTATAGCTCAACAAGGGTTATGCGCTAGTGCAGCCGGCGGTTTACGGAGTAAAGTCCATGCTTCATCTATATGGCACCTCCTAGATGTACATGTCTCGGTCGCTAATTCTCCACCTATAGGCACATCCACAAAGTGGAATCATTGTTCCCTGCTAGAAACTTGATGATATCCGCTGCGATATGGATTTCTTGGCAACGGAGTGATGCCGCTTCTGTCGAATGGGAGCTATCATGTCAGGACCCTACATATATAAGGCCCTGGCATCCGGGCTACTGGATTTTTTTCTCATCCATCCTTTGCATTCCATTCATTTCAAGGTCTAGTACCATTTATTCATTCTCTTTTTGGGTTGACTTCATTGACTGAAGTCCCCTTTTCATTCTTTTTTCGCTCACCTTTGATACTTCGATCCTTCGATCTAAACGCTGTGCGTTTTATTCTAAAACTTTTTCAAGATGTCTGTCTCAAAGATTGCGGGTCTCCTGCTTAGCTCGGCCGCCATGGTCGCTGGTCATGGTTTCGTGTCGGGTGCCGTTGTTGATGGCACTTACCACGGGGGCTTCATCGTCAATACCTACAATTACATGACCGAGGTGCCTGCGAACATTGGATGGAGTGAAAAGGCCACCGACCTCGGCTACATCGACGGCACTGGCTACACTGGCTCCGACATTATTTGCCACAAGGAAGCCACTCCGGGTGCGATCTCCGCCGAGGTCAAGGCCGGTGGCTCTGTCGAGCTGCAGTGGACTGCGTGGCCTGAGAGCCACCACGGCCCGGTCATTACCTACATGGCTAACTGCAATGGCGACTGCTCCGTGGTCGACAAGACAACCCTCAAGTTTTTCAAGATCGCCGAGGCCGGTCTGATCGACGACACTAACGTCCCCGGTACATGGGCAAGTGACCAACTCATTGCTGCCAACAACAGCGCCACTGTGACCATCCCCAGCACCATCGCCGCTGGCAACTATGTTCTCCGTCATGAGATCATTGCCCTGCACTCCGCCGGCGATGCAAACGGCGCCCAAAACTACCCCCAGTGTATCAACCTGAAGGTCACCGGCGGCGGCAGCGACTCCCCTGACGGCGTCCTCGGCACAGCACTCTACACGCCCACCGATCCCGGTATTTTGATCAGCATCTACAGCGCGCTGGAGTCCTATGTGATCCCCGGCCCCGCTTTGTACACCGGCGCTTCATCCGGCTCTTCATCGAGCTCCTCGACCACCGCCGCAGCCACTACCGAAGCCACTACCGCGTCTGCTACTGTTTCTACCACCGCGGCCCCCACCGTGGCTACTACCAGTGCCTCAACCGTGAGTGCCTCTCCTATCCAGAGCTCCTCTTCGCACCACCTCACCCGCACCCGCACCCGTACTGCCCGTCCTACGTACAGCCCTACTTTCTCGTCTGCTCCCACGTCTGCTGTCTCAACCTCCGCCCCCAGTGGGCCGGATTACGAGCCCACTGATGCTCCTTCCACCCTCATCGAGAATGCGACTGCCACCGCTTCCTCTGCTCCTCAGGTTACTGACGAGCCTGCCACACAGACCGCCAGTACCGCCGACAGCGTCACCATCACCACCACCGCCGGTGGTCTGTCTGCTCAGAGCTCCGCAGCTGTCCTCGAGTCTAGCGCCACTGCCGCCGTCACTGCCGAGGCTACCGCTACTGCTGCCCCTACCGCCGCAGCCACCACTTCCACCTCTAGCACCAGCTCTGGATCTTCTTCCTCCAGCTCCACCTCTACCTCCAACTCCTCGTACCTCAGCTCCCTGAGCGCCGAGAAGCTCCTCGAGGTCATCCGGTCGACCCTGAAGTGGCTTGTCTCTGACAAGAAGGTGCACGCCCGTGCTCTGGCTTACTAAAATATTCGCCCTACATGCTATAACTATTTATAGCTGTGTGATGTGAAACTTGTTACTGAACATCTGTGAAACTGGATCGGGTATCCTCTGTCTTTATTGACTGTTCTGTTCGGACTGATTGTAACAACACCGTGTTACGGATTTCCTTTATATTCTCTTTCCTCCTTGCGTTTTGCGCATAGAGACGATAGGCCTGCTTTGGTCTTTTATTTTTCTACTTTACCTTTATGAATGGAATCGCTGGACTGCTCAATTTTATGATCGCGTGGGTAAAAGCGTAATTGTTGAGACCGTTCCTGCCTTAGGTTGATAGGACCTGATTTTTTGATCCTCCCTTCTTCTCCCTCTCTCTCTCTTTCTCTCTCTCTTAGCCAGCTGGTTTCCTTTCCTATCAGTAACATAAGATTATACAAGCACCACATAGATAGCCCTTTGACGATGCCATATATCAACATGCAGCAGTTTCCAAGGTACCACCTAATACAAAGATGCAAATAACTTAAATCAAGTTAAGTCCCAGCTTTCAAGGGTAAGAAAAATGGCCTATATCAGTATATTAACAGAATAAAACAAGCAATGAAGAGGTCAGGGGAAAAAAAGAAATAGTCCTGAGACCCGGAATCGAACCAGGATCTACGAGCTTCGAAAAGCATAGGTATGTATACTTAAGATGCAAGCCCACCCGTCAGGGCGCTGTGCTACCATTGCACCATCCTGGGGTTAGGTTGGGGGTAAGGAAGTTGAGAGAGTGAAGACAAGAGAAGTATGTTATCCGTGGACGGAAAGGGAGAATGCAAGCTTCGTCGCGCTGGAGGGAAATCATATGTAGGAATGGCGTCAACAATCTGACAACTCTATGCTGGAAGATATAGGGCAAGAGTAACATATGACAGCGGTCGATCACCTGATATAAAGTATGTATCTTGACTAGTACTAGTATCATGTTTGACTTCGTTCATTTCCATGGTACGCTTTTACTAAGTTTAGTGGTAACACAGTCTACCTAGGGCTATTTGCCTATGCCATGAAGTTGACCTCCCCGTAGGACTATATCCATGAAGTCCCACGGGGAATTCCATGATCTAGGAAAAGCTAGTACCCTATGTACCGTCGGAGATTAGGTTCAACTCTGATTTATAAAGTATCTCAATCTTCCGAAAGTTTACCATTGTACACACCTAAGATCAGGTAAATGAGATCACCGCCAGCCTACAGCGAGACTTAGAAGCTCACTTGTCAGGGCAAATCCTTAGTGATTAGGGAGCTGAAAGTACTTGCCAATCTCTAATCCAGCTTTCTACACAATAACATACTACTCTGGAGTATAGGAAGCAAGCTTATAACTGCTTTTAGATCCCGGGTCTCAGGACTTGCTCGTCCATTCCTATCCTATGTCTTCACTCGTCCCTATACTTACTACCAAACATACCTGGGGTAATGTAATGGCAGCACGGCGCCCTGACAGGCAGGCTTGTGTCTTAAGTACACTTACCTGGGACTTTTCGAAGCCCGCAGATCCTGGTTCGATTCCGGGTCTCAGGACTATTTCTTTTTTTTTCTCTTACAAAATGTCGATTCCATACTCCCATTTCTTGTATTTGTCTATGCACTTTATCCTATATCTCATTGGTAGTAAGAGCGAAAGCTAACAGTCATTATCATTTCCTACTCTTCGGGCATGTGGATATAGATATATATATGTAAGGGAATATCAGCCTAGGGAAGATACACAGTCGTGGGAGAAAAAAAAGGGAAATAATCATTTCATATGTCTCGTGCTTATTATTTAGTATCCTATCTTTGACAAAAAAAAATGGCAGTCTCTGTATGGAATTTAGACTTGATGCGCTGAATCTAGGAAAGAAAAAAATTAGAATATTCAGATTCCTTTCTATGTCGACAAGATACCTCGTTATCAACAAATCAGCCCGGCTAGCTCAATTGGCAGAGCGTGTGACTTTTAACTCACTAGCAATTTATCTCAGATATCTGTTAGCACTTGAAATCACAAGGTTCGGGGTTCGACCCCCCGGTCGGGCAACATTAAAGTTGCCCACTGCTCATCTTTTTTGTGTCTAATACACCAAGATATCCATTTTTGTTCTGTTTTCTCATTTTGCGGTTATAGTTCCGTCTCTGTAGCATGTTGAAATAATTGCTTAGGACATGTAGATATACTTTTTTCTTTATCCGCAAATATTAGGCGCCACTAAGAGGACTATCTAGGTAGTACCATATTCAAAGCCTTATATGTACCATTGCCAAGTTTCCCAGACAAAGGACATCTACAAGCACTCGCGGCAGACTCGAGAGGTGGTGCAATCTTCGTTACGTGTGATCTGGTCCACAGAATAGATACACTCATGGCGGATGAGGCTTTGATGCAGTACTTGTTTCATGATGATATCTGGGAGGCTATTGATACTGATATCAATGATACGGAGACACGGCGAGATAGTAGGAACGGGATTGAGAACGAGAACGGCAATGGAAGGCAAGGCGAAGAGAGGGAACTAAAATTGTCGAATGGAACGGGGGAGAACCATGAAGAGGGATTGAAGCAACATAGTGGTGGTTAATAAAAACTTGGGTTGATTATGGCGATGAGTTGGGGGAGGTGCATCTGTGAGTATGTTGTTCATCTCTACGCTGATTTATTGTTTGTACAGGAAAAGTGCTCTCTATCTAGTGATATGAACAGACAATCATTTGATTGTCGATCATTTCTTCTTCTTGGTCTTATCCACAACCTCGATCATCTGTGACTTCAATCCACGGCGAACCAGGGCTGTCTCAATGGCCTTTCGCTGGTCGCCCTGCACCAAAACTTCCATGATCCCCTTGGGGGCACCAGTAGCTTGTGTGACACTAGTGCTACCGGCACACTTCTTCTGCAGCTCCTGTGCCAACAGACTAGGAATAATGCCGAAGACCTCCAAAGTCATAACTTTGGTAACGGTCTTGGAGCCTGTCCGCTTCTCGAGGGTGACATGGACCTTAGGTGCGGGGCCTGCTTTCGGCTTGACGTCTGCAAGAGTTTGATCGGTCTTCAAAATCACATGGTACGGTGAAAGCAGTGTTTTATCATCCATGAGTCGTTTAAGAAGACCATCGCGAGTGGCCTTGCCGCGTGCAAGTGTTCCCTTATCTTCGGTTGATGATGAATTGAAGATGGTGTTCGCGAGGAATGGGTTGAGGGTTATGATGCGCTTGTTCTCTTTTGAGATGATGGGTGGATTTTGGGATTCAAGATATTGATCCAAGTGACTGGAAACTTGAGAGTATTTGTAGAAGTTATTTGTGTCGCTGGCAGCGAGGGCAGGGAAAATGGTTGGCACCAGCTTTCCTGATGGCCGATATAGACTCTGCACAGTGATCGTCTGGCCCACCGAAGGGTCGGAGCCATCCAGCGCAGCCGACTTTTTGCCCTCGGGTGCGGTCGCCTTATTGTTCTCCAGAGCACGCGGTGAAGGCAATCTGTATGGCACAAATCGCTCGACCCGATGGTCCTCAAAGTCCACATCCCAAATGACGGTCTCTTGACCATTACGTTCCTTGGTTTTGACAAGCTTCGATTTGTCTAGATGTTTCATGAACTTTTTTACGTTCTTCCAACTGGTCTTCTTGATGTTGTAATGCTGGGCCTGCTGGGGAGTGTACGCAGGGAGATAAGGAGCAGTGAAGTTGGCTATCAATGCCGAAGCTGTGATTGGCAGTGGAAGGCCATGGTCTGCTGCGGATGGGTTATCCTGCTTGTGTTTGTAGAGGGCGTAGACAAAAGCATTGACGAATGCCTCGTCAATTTCTATTATTTGTCAGTATTTGATTGATTGAGCTCGAAATCCAACTGCTGGCTGAGAAAGAGGGAGGTAGGGGTGACTCATGACTCACCCTCTGTTGGGGGTGCCTCGACCTCGGCGACGGGTTCTTCTGATATGGTTGGGTCATTGCTTGGTGTTTCAATGTCCCCCGAGGCAGCTGTCGGCTCATCATCCTCAATTCTCAATTCCTCAATTTGCTCCTCAACACTCTCAGTTTCATCCTCGTCCCAGCCCTCCAAGTACTCTGGAGCTGCACGGCCCGGCAGTGACGCAGAGCTCCACGCCCAAAGTTCATCACCCTCCCAATGCAATCCACGGACCGCATGGCCCTTTGTGCCTTGCACCTCTCCCAATGCCGAAACATCAATCTCACAGATGCCCACAAAAAGTGGCACTGTATGTCGGTCTACACTCGCGACCGCGACAACGGCGCCCTTGACCGCCCTTTCAGGGAACGGGGGCTCATTCGCAAGGCCCGGCGTCATTAAATCAGCTCCACCATGGAGCTTTCCCATCACAAACTCCGGGGTATAGAGTAACGGAACCAAGTTCGCGTTGTGCCATAGTGTATAGACAGTTGGGAATAGTCGGTTTTCGGCGCCCAGGCCGTGTTCCAGCTTGAACCATAGCACCCGCTCATCGCCGTCGGGATGTGTGCCAACATATACGACCCCTTGAAGTTCGCGTAGGTCTGGACCAGCAGTGGTTGTAAAACGAGCGGTTTGGGTGTTCTCGGGCAGGAGGGCATTCCGGATCGTTGTGAGGCTCAATGCGGGGGCAGATACTGTGCTGGGCCCAGACGAGTCTGCTTTGGTGGGGGTCGAGGTGACGGGGATTTGGTAATCTTTGATAATTTGGTCGGCAATCTTCCTACGATCAGAAGACCGTAGTGGAGAAAGGTTTTTGATCTGGTTTATATGAGCAGAGAGTCCCTTGCGATGGGAGGGTTGGAAACCCAAAGCTTGGAGGGGCAGTGCGGGGAGAGAGGTCGTTTACCGTAGGCTTCTTTTTGAACATAATTGTAATCTCAAAGCTCAAAGCTTAAAGCGCAGAGTATAATTGAATCCACGCAGGTCTGCTGAAGACGAGAGAGAGAAGATGTCAAGAGTAAAGATGTGACGTCCGATCAAAGAATCTCCCGGAGATCTCCACATGGGGCGAAGAGGAAAAGAACTCGTTTTCTTAGCATCCGTGGAATTCGCGACAACGCCAGTCTCACTCAACCACTTTATCAATGCCTAATTAATCCATTCTTCCACGTAATTTCTCCCAACTTTACAGTAAAGCTGTCACAGAAAGGCTGAGTTTTGATGGAATGGGCAAGATGCTTCAATATTAGGCCAAGCTGGTAACTATGCTAGTTTCTAACAGTTGAGAAACAGGGTATTGCTATGGTGAGAAGCGTTGTTGAGGTGCTTGTTCCAAACTATATAAGTTAGAACTACATATGTACATGAATTGCAGTATGTGCTGTTCCAAAATGCTAGAGATTACATCGAAGAAGGCAGAGATATATGTACAAGCAATGAATCCTCAAAGCTAGAAGGAAGAAAGTCCCAAGTGGTCAAAAATAACTCCGGACAGATGAAGAATAGCGTTATTAAATCGAACAAGGCATCGTAAAATTGTAGATTGGGACATGAAGTCAATCGTCCGATTGTCTCGGTATTGGTTTGACTGGTCTTCTCGATGGGCTTATTCCTTGGGAAACCACAACCCAGAAGCGCCAGTATGTGCGTTATTGAACAAATGGTGCTGCATGCAGGCCATGGAATAGTATTATGTATATGGTGCAATTTCCGGAACATATCCGGCTGGATTCACCTCACCCCTTGGTAGGTGCCTCACTGGAGTCTAGCATCAAGCTCGCATCCTCTGCTTCTAGCTGAATCCATCACGTCATCCGAGAGAACTTCAAGATGTTTTCGGTTCATCGGGACTATACTTCCAGCGTCGGAAGTTATCTGCAATCCACCACTGCGAAACATGGGCGGCCTCGCTAAGCCACCTCGCGGCTTCGGGCCCATGCCGTGTCTGTACGGCATCAAACAAAGACACGATATCGGTGTCTTCCTCGGGACTGAACTCGAGTGGGTCGGCGACAACATTGGTGAATCGCCACGGGGCATCGGGGATAAGCGGCACGACAAGACGGTACGGTTTCGCGGCTGCTCGCATAGAGACCCATGTTCCTCCGGGGTTCATCGTGGAGAAATGCCACTCTGACTTCTTATCCTGCTCGGATATAAGTGGGCGTAGCAACGACTGGCCTTCGTACAAGGGAAGCAGGTCCTTCAATATATGTGCCGACTGTTCGTTAATATTAGAGGTTTCGATTAGAATATCGAGGATGCTGGGGAGCATTTGAGTCGAAAGGACGGCGCCACTGATTTCGATCGGGGGTAGCTTAGGATGGGCGAGGAGTAGGGGAACGTGGAAACTGCCAACGTGGGGGTCATGGTTGGCCGTTATACCACCATCATTTGGAAGAGATAAACCGCTTTGATCGAGTTAATGAAAAGTTGATAAGGTCTAAGAAAAAGGACAGAACTTACTGGTCTCCTGCCATGACAAGCAGGGTTTCATCAGCGACCCCAGCCTCTTCGAGAATCTCAAGGATAGAGGCTAGCCAGTCGTCCTGATACTTGATAGTATTGAGGTACCGGTTCAAGTTATCGTTCCATCCAATGCCATTCCCGAAGAATTTTTCGTATTCACCAGGCTTAAACCAAGGAGTATGGGTATTATGAGTTAGGTGGCCGATAAAGAGGCGAGTGTTGTTCTTCTTAGCCTCGGCAAATGCGTCCCGCATATAGTTCTTTAGTGTATGATCCGGGTGACCATATTGCTGCTCCTCCTCTGGCTCCTCTGGGATGTATATAGCGCCGGCTTCATTGATTGATTCTTTGGTTGTGATATCTTTGAATCCCATGACAGGAGTAAGATCCTCCTGGTGGTCCCAGGTACCATAATGGGACTGCATCCACTTAGAATGCCACGGCCAGGAGGTCCAATCCTCAGTATCACTCGTGATATTTGATTGTTGACTCAACGCGTGGAATATGTGCGGTAGGCAAGGCTGATAAATATCGTGCAGGTACTCAAGATTACCTTGGACAGGCATAGGGCTCACACCACACATAGTGCCTGTAATACTTTTCATGGTGTATGTACCGGAGGTATAAGCATTTTTCGCGCTGAGGCCACCATAGGGCTTTGGTCGATCCTTGTTCTCTTTGAATCCAGTCTCAAATCCGGTGAACATTTGGGCGATAGGGGTGAGATTAGAGAGTTTATCCATAACCTCCTCGGGGACATTTCCATCCCAAGACCTTTTCAGGTGCTCCATGATGTAAGAGTCGGAGCGGAAGGGAAAGACGTCCTGCCGATTGCTTTCTAATTTGATGAGAATAATATGTTTGATCTTGACGTCTCCGCTGTGAAGCACGTCACGTATAGGCTCCAGGATTTCGTTCTGAAGATTGGGAAAGTGTAGCGGATCTTTCAACGGGTTGTAGTGTTCGTACAAATACTCGTTAGGTGCGGTATTGTTGAAGTGACTTATGCGGAAGGGAGACCAGTCCGGGAAGGCAGTCGCTGCATCACCCGTATGTAACCAATCGAATGTCGGGAAGGAGTCCAGAGTATTTTTGCCTTCTAGCCAGCGGAAGTCGCCCGGTAACGACGCCACACCTCGCTGAGAGGACCCGAACCTGAGGCCGCCAAAAGGTGCGAGAGGCAGAGATGCGGAGAGGAAA